AAAACTATGCAAATGAAGACAATATATTAGGAGTGGTCAACAGAGCCGAGGTGGCGCAGTGGTTAGGGTGCAGTACTGCAGGCCACTTCAGCTGACTGTTATCTGCAGTTCAGCGGTTCTAATTTCACCGGCTCAAGGTTGACTCAGCCTTCCATCCTTCCGAGGTGGGTGAAATGAGGACCCAGACTGTGGGGGCAATATGCTGACTCTGTAAACCGCTTAGAGAGGGCTGAAAGCCCTATGAAGCGGTATATAAGTCTAACTGCTATTAGTCTTTAAATGGAATGCTGGAGACATGTCTCCAAAAACTAGGTGGGAACAATGCAATTAAGCAAGTGGGGCCAAGGGGAAAAAAGCCAGCAACTTTATTCAATTTTAATTAAGTTTAAATACTAGAAGAAAATTCCTGACAGTAAGAGCTGTCAACTCTTGACAGCTAGAGTTGACAGTAGAATAGGCTATCTCATTATATGTTCTGTTACATTGGAGGTCTTCAAATAGAGGTCCATGTCTCCAAAATGCCTTAGTAGATGTTCCCCCGAATTAGGTGACCTTTAAGGTACATCCAACTCTAAAACTCTATGAATCTATGAATCAGAATTAATATTTTTTACACAATTAATATATTTCTTCTTCTGTCAAATTAAAATCACATCTGCCTTCCTCACAACCTAACCTTTTTTATATAGTGTAGCAACTTCCAACTGCATGGTTTCAATGTGGTTCCTATGTCAAATCACCATACAACTAGGTTTGGGTACACAGATTATAAATATGTAGACTTTATGTATAAATAGCCACTGGTGATGCCAAGATGGGAAGCAGAGACTCAGTGATCCTCATCTTCCATGCATTATAAGAAATTGATTGGAAGACATTAGAGGGAAAGTCTTCGCAAACTACAAAACTGATCTAGTACAAGGAAATAGAAGAATGTTACCAAATGAAAGATTTATTACCATTGCAACTTATACTTGGGCAATGGATTCAGTAAGAGACAACTGTACTTGTCAACTGTACTTTAATTCAACTGTAATAGTCTACTGTTCTTTGATGGATTGATACCCAAGAGATGCTATCGGCCTTTATTTGTTTTACAGGTCCGGCAGTGAATGTAAGCTGCAATATTTTCATCAACAGCTTTGGATCTATTGCAGAAACAACAATGGTAAGTAGAATGAAGCATGTCATCTCTGCAAACTTTCCAAGTCAACATTGACATTTAACTTATAATACCCTTAAGATATGTTACTGGTTCCCCGTTTCCACCTTTTATTTTTTTCCCCTTTGGTCAGCAATGAATTCCAAGCTGGCTGTATTGTTACTGAGAGGTTGACACCAACATTTTTTACTGAAAGTTAAAGGGAATCAACTTGTCCACTCAGCAGCAGATTAAATTGATTTCTGGGTTGCTTCAGAATCTAAGTTATTTCACAGATTAGCATTAGAAAACCACTGATTTATAGTTGTGCCCTATAATCTGGTTCTCTAACCAGGCAAAAACAAAAAACTCCAACTTCAAAAAATGCCACAGATTCAGTGTCTTCAATGTGCATTCAAGTTAATACAAACACAGCGAATCCTTTACACTATTTGCTACATATACGATATATACTACAGTACAGGTAGTCTTTGACTTATGACGATATCTGAACCCAATATTTCTGTTACCAATCAAAATATTTTAGTGAATTTTGCCCCATTTTATGATCTTTCTTGCCACAGTTATTACGTGAATAGTTGCAGTTGTTAAGCTGGTAACACAGTTGATAAGTGAATCTGGCTTCCTTTGCTCATCAGAACATTGTAAAAGTGATCACAAGATCCTTGGACACTGCAACCATCATTAACAAGAGTCAGTTTGGATTAGAAGACTTCTGGGTCCCTTTCAATACTTCTACGCTACTCTACTTATTTTATTCTTTGAATCAGGCTGTCTGCCCAGTTCCATTCTTGGTATTTAAAAACAATGATTAAGAACTTAACCTCTTCAAGAATATCACTTTTTGTTTGTTTGTTATTTTTCCCACCTTTCGAGGTGGTGAAGTATCTAAAACTCCTCCTATTCCCTCTCCCTCCCAGTAACAACCCTATAAGGTAATCTGAGGGCAGAGTGAGTGACTGGTCCAAATCACCCAGCTAGCTTTCATGGCTAAGATAAGACTAGAACTCACAGTCTCCAGTTTCTGCGTCAACCACTAAGTGGCTCTCAGTTTTATGGGGTTTTGTCCTCAGTTGTTTTTCTCTCTCTGCTTTTGGGTATTTTATAGATAAATAGAGATAATTCTGACCCCAAATAGCCAAAACTAAAACACTGCCTCA